TGCCGGAGCCTCGCCGGAGCCTCGCCGAGCCGCCGCCCGCCGCGTGCGCCCCCGCGCCATGGCCGGCCTCAACTCCCTGGAGGCGGTGAAACGCAAGATCCACGCCCTGCAGCAGCAGGCGGACGAGGCGGAGGACCGCGCGCAGGCCCTGCAGCGGGAGCTGGACGGCGAGCGCGAGCGGCGCGAGAAAGTGAGCGCCCGGCGCGGCCCCCGTCCGCTCGGGTCCTGCAGCTCCCGGATCGCGGACCCGCAGCCCGGGGGGCCCCCGCCGCCGTCCTCTCTCCCCCCGGGCTCGGGACGGGGGAGGGGGCGCTGCATCCGGGTCGGGCGCGTCCGGCCGAGCGGGAAATGGGGGCAGGGGTTGCGCGATCCCGGGGCGGGGAAGTGGGACAGGGGTGTGCTGTGCTGCGTGCAGTTCTCGGAGCTGGGGCCGGGGTCCTGGTCCGGGGGAACCCCGCGACTGGACCTGCGGACGGGGAATGAGGGGTGGAAACGCTGAGGTTCCATTGTCTGGGCTTGGACCGGCCGACACGGACTTGGCGGGGCGAGGGAGGAGCCGGGGGCCATCGCGCTTTCTGGCCTCTCCCGCGGCTTCCCGGCTCCCGCTGAACTTTCCCAGGGGCGCGGCGGCGACGTGTCCGCTCCAGGAAGGGGGTGGGGGCGGAAGTTCTGCCCCGAGCCGCTTGCCTCTCTCTTTCCAGCTGGTCCCTGCGGGAACCAGGGCCGCGGGGTCCCGCCTTCCTCCAGAAGGCCCCCGGAGTGCTAACAAAGGGTCCTCGGCCCAGACCCTTTGAGCGCCTACTGTGTGCCTCCGCGGGCGCGTCGCGGGCCTGAGATAGATTGGTCTGAAAGAGAGATAGATTGGTCTCACCACCCCCCTCCATCCCCTGCCTGCCCCTCGGGACAGATCTGGATTCTGATCCCACCTCGTGCCACTTACCAGCCGTAAGGCTTGGTGCTTAACCTCTGGGAGTGTTTCCCCATCGGTAAAGTAGGAGTGATGATAATTCCGGCGCCCTGTGTAGCTGGCAGGGTCCCAGGAGTAAAACCTCCAGGCAGGGAGTGTGGTGCATAGCAGATGCTCAATTCGTGTTTTTCTCCCCTCCCTCTACCCTGGGAAGAGTTCACAGTCTCTTAGGGGCAAGGGGGACAGACAGATATGACCGATTTAGTGTGATTAGCATTCCATGGGTTTTCTGTTATGGGAGCATGACAGAGGGAAGCAGCCAGCCCGAGGGACACACGGGAGGCTTCAAAATGTAAGCTGAGCAGAGTCTTATAAAATAAGTTTGCTGGAACAAGAGACCTGGATGTGCAGAGACTCGGGCAAGAAAGTTGGCGGGGGGGGGGGGGGGGGGGGGGGGGGGGGG